AAGGAACAAGGCAGACCTACAGGCGTTCCTTGGACTTATCAATTTCTATAATGTGTTTTTACCCCACAAAGCAACAGTAGCTGAACCATTGCATAGACTATTAGACAAAAAAGCAACGTGGGTTTGGGGGCAACGGGAACAACATGCTTTCCAACAAGTAAAGAAATTGCTAACTTCTGATTCAGTACTTATGCAGTACAACGAGACTCTGCCGCTCACTATCACGTGTGATGCATCACCTTTTGGGGTTGGGGCAATTCTGGCCCACGTGTTACCAAACGGAGCGGAGGCCCCCATCGCGTTTTTTTCGCGAACCTTAGCTAAAGCTGAACGAAATTATAGTCAGCTGGACAAAGAAGCTTTAGCTATTGTGGCTGCAGTTAAAAGATTTCATGAATATGTGTATGGCCGTGCGTTTACAATAATCACTGATCATAAACTGCTACTGGGGATCATTGCGGGTAATAAACCAACCCCGTATATATTGTCCCCCAGAATGACCCGTTGGTCTGAATTCTTGGCGGCCTACAACTACACCTTGCAACACCGCCCGGGGAAATCGATTCTCCACGCTGATGCACTGAGCAGAACACCGCTCCCAGACTCTGTTGTGGATCCAGCCCCAACCATCTCAACGCTACAGATCGAAGCTCTACATGCACCACCCTTGACGGCTAGAGACATTGCTTTTGAAACGAAACGTGACCCAGTTCTGCAACACATACTACGCTGGGTTGAACGGGGGTGGCCGACGGACCAGATAGCACCTGAATGGGTGCCCTTCAAAGCCCGCCAAACCGAGCTGTTTTCCCAAAAAGGCTGTATCTTGTGGGGCGATCGAGTCGTAATCCCTGGCAAATTGCAACAGACTGTTTTGGCGGTATTGCATGAGGGACATCCGGGTATTGTGCGGATGAAAGCACTCGCAACGCAGCTATGCTTGGTGGCCAGGAATCGACAAAAGAATCGAGGCCTGGGTCGCTACGTGCCAACGTTGCCAGGACGTCAGCAACGCCCCACCTAAAGCAAGCCCAACCAAATGGGAAACACCGAGGGGACCGTGGTCCCGTATTCATATTGACTTTGTGGGGCCTACCAAAGGTCACACTTTCCTGATTACTGTCGACGCCTATTCTAACTGGCTCGAGATTCATCGAATGCACACAACTACAACAGACTCAGTTATTAATAAATTAAACAGACTATTTGCCACACACAGGTTTCCGGACGTGTTGGTCTCGGACAACGGCCCACAGTTCACTGCATTGCCCTTTGAACAATATCTTGCTGATCGGGGCATCCGCCATGCGCTAACCTCGCCCGCGCACCCTGCGGCGAATGGACGTGCAGAACGCATGGTACAATTTGTAAAAAAGACCCTTCACAAAATGGAATTTGGCAACATCGACGAGAAAATCAATCGAATTCTCTTGTTGCAGCACATCACACCCCACAGCGTGACCAACAAAACACCCGCTGAACTTCTTATGGGGTGGAAAATACGATCGCACCTTGACCGGCTCCACCCCGCTTTCGCACCGGAAAAAACTTTCGGCTCCAGCAGCAAATGCCGAGAATTTAAGGTAGGCGATTTAATCTTTGCCAAAAACTTTTCCGGCGACCCGTTATGGATACCCGCAACCGTTACCCACCTCACCGGGCCTAGATCTTACCGCCTGCTAACAGATGATGGGAGGGTGTGGTAACGCCACATAGACCAGCTCCGGTCGAGATTACCACCCAGCGGCCATGACTTCCCCAGTTCACCAACTCAAGGGGGAGGAAGTATCAAGGGAATTGACTTTGATACAACTAATAGCAGGTCAACGGGAGCCCTACAGCCCAGCGAAGCACCGGAACGTGAAGCGGGGAGGGAGTTGACGTTTTCAGGGAACTTTAATACGGGGGAAAACGAACTGCAAAACCCCGAAGAAACACAGAGTAGCAGAGACAACCACAGTGAATGCAGCACGGAATCGCCGTGCAGCGAAATAGAATTTAACAAAGGTCATCCAAACGCTCCACCGGAACCGGACATTAGACAAAACCCGGTGGAGCCGCGGAAATCATCCAGGCAGACCAAACGGCCTGCCTATCTTGAGGATTTTATTACAGCTCCCCTCAAACGGAACCCAAGGGTGTTGTGAATCAATAAAAGTGAATAACCTAAATGCAAATTAGGGGTTGAAAACCTGCACACTTGATTGGTCCTTATACAACAACTTGGGATTGGGCCAGAACTAGTCCCTGATTGGCCACTTTTGGGACTGTTCTTATTGGTTAGTAGTTTGAACTTGTTGCACATTTTCATTGGTTAATAAGGCAGCAGCCAACCCTATAAAAGGGTTACTGTTGCCCATAGCATTGCTCTGTTATGTTCTATTACTTTATTAAAGAGTTGAAGTCACTGGTCAGATGTCTGGTCTCCGTTACTCTCCATACCTAACAATAACCAAGTTCAAAGAGACCTTGATAGACTTCTAGTCTAACCCTCTGCTCAAAAAGGATACCCTATACCAGTGGCCCCCAACCTAATCTTTCAAACATTCTGAAAATTTCAAATATTCCACATTCTATTTTTTTTCAAATATTCTGAACAATAACTAAGATTTCACATTTACGAGTGAAGTTTGCTCTATTATTTGAAATCCCCATATTTTACATGTTCTGTAACTCTGCATGAGAAAAATGTGAGAGGCTGAATTTCTCCATTCAATAAACCTTCTTTTCTGAAAGTACAGCCTGTTAAAACTCAGTAGTGCCTCTTTCTGGATAAAAATGGAAAGAACTGCAGATCTGGGGCTTTAAAATCTGAGCATAGCAGCAGAAAAGGAAAGATCACATGCAAATTAAATATGAATGATGACTGTCGGTAGATTTTTTTTTAGTTTGACATTTTTATATTGAGTTATAAGATGATAGAATAAGATACAAAATGTAAAAATAAGTAGGTGGGGAGGAAGCGGGGGAAGAAAAGTGAAGAAGGATAAGAAAAAAAGAACAAGAAACATTGACTTCCAACTCTCTCTGTTGCAGTGAAATAAGGCATTAACATCAAATCACTACTTTTTTTTTCATAATAATATGAACAAGCCATTTCTATAAATTTCTATCAATCTAATCATTACAACCCAAAATCAAAGTTTCATGCTTTTCCGCTTCAAGCACAAAGTTCAGAAACGGTCTCCATGTGGAAATAAAAGTACTTATATTGCTTTCTTTAATCAAAATGGTCAATTTTGCCATTTCAGCCAATTCCATCAACAATTTGTCCATGATAGGAATTGAAGTGTCGTACTATTTTTGCGCATACAATAGTCTTGCTGCTGTCAACATATAAGTAAGAATGATGGCTATCGGTACTGATAAGAAGTGAGTGGTCAAGAATCGTTATATTTGCACTCTGCAAAACAGTGTGTTCTGACCCAGGCTTCATCAAACTTAATAAAACAAAAACTGAATTTAAAAGCAAAACCTTTTTTAATGTATTGCTGGGAATTACTTGCATTCCAAGCCAAAATAATTAGACACAGTTCCTCCAGATGAGCATGCTTTTCAGTACTGTAGAATGCTGCCAAGAAACAGAAGGCCAATTAAGGCTAACATAAACCAACCCAAAAACCCAGAAAAAAAAACAACAACCAGAGTATAGAGCTTCATGAAGGACTCGGTGATTACTAAACTGCTTTGCTTCCTGCAAAGCTTTTCATCATTGAGGACTGACTTTTATCCCTTATGGGAGGGGCAATCACCTCCCAGCCTTACTCCTGAGTTGCCCCTTCTTCAGCTGCTCTCACCTTCTAGCAGCTCTGCGCACCTGCACACTGGGAACAGGCTCCCCTGGGTCCTCTGCCTCACTGCTGCCAGACTCCAAAGGCTCCGGAGGCAGCACCCCACTCTCAGATGGTCCTGGCCCCATCCCTGCATCGGATGCAGGACCCTCGTCCAAGTCCTCGCCAGACTCCCTGACAGGTTCCCTTTCGTCCTCACTGTCCGATACCTCTGCCATCTGCACCAGCTGCCAGCAAACCCAACACAGTGAAAGTCTTAATGCTGTAATTAAAATGTATTTTATTTTCTCCAACAGGTGACAGAGGGGAGAAAGGAGAGAAGGGAGATGCTGGCATTGGCCAGAGGGGTGAAACTGGTCCCCCAGGAGTAGCAGGTGGGTTACTTATTCTTTGCAAACAGGGATTTATATGGCTTCAGGTAACTTTCCCCAAACTTTACCAAGCCAGAACTACCAACAGAAGAGATTATTATCTGTAGTACAGTTTGAACATTGGAGTCCTTGGTGTTCTCTGAACTTGGTGGCTTGCTTACAAGCCAGAAGTTCCACAATTTCTAGGCAATGACATTTGGAATACAGGTAATCCTTAAGTTAAAACTATTAATTTAGTGACTGTTCAAAGTTACAATGGCACTGGAAAAAAAGTGACTTATGACTGTTTTTCACACTTACGATCAGGGGTGGGAATCAAAAATCCCAGCAACTGGTTCTCTGCCCAGTTGCTGGGTAGGCGTGGCCATGGTGGGTGTGGCCTACCAGAACTTCCGGGACGGCCATTTTTCACCTTCCCCAGAGTTTGGAGACTTCCCTCGGGCCAGCACACAAGTAAATAATTCTGCAGGATTCATCCACCTAAGAAAAACTTCTTTATATACAATACCACACAGCAGAAGTCAGCATATAAAATCAAGAACACAGAAGCAATATTGACAGAAGCAAGTCATTACAGAGTAGAGTGATACAGAGGCCTAGGTTACAGAGGACAAACCAACTCTCATATACAGTTCAGCAAGTCAAAGCCACGCCCAGACTCCAAACTGTCTCTTATGGCCCCATATAAAACAAATACTATGCTTCAGTTTCCATACTGTCCCTATTGGCTGACCTGTTACCATGTCTGTTCCAATTCATGAACTATACTGACACCCTTTTCCTATAAATATTTGTGAGCTTACACGTACACTTTGGTTTTTCATCAGTTGGCATGAGGTCAACTTCTCTGCTCTAATGCCTACCTCAAAGCTTTCCTTTTGACTTTTCCCTATTTCTGTAAGAGAACTATTTTGAGAAACCCACATTTTCCCTAAAGAAGTAGAAACAGTGGTTTTAGGAGGGTGAAAACAATTATCTCTACCTTTTGCTTCAAACATTTTTAGCAGGTGGTGCTGCTAAAAAAAGACACCATTGTTTGAAGTTAAGCAGGTGGCTAAAACAAAGAGAAGCTGTCAGTTTTTTGTTTTTTTTAAAGGTTCCTGAGAAATGGGGTGAAAATCTGCCAAGAATATTTATTCCCTTGTCTCTTGATGGAGAAAATTCCCTGCTGGCAGAGGCACCGTTGGGTTGGTCCTTTGATTGCACTTTCTCCCCTAAAGCAGTGCTTTGTAGGCAGATTGACAGGCCAATGCATGAAGCTGATGTATCCTGAATTGTCAATTTTGCCATTGTGGGAAGAAATATCCATCTGGTTCAGTTCCAAGCCAGGAAAAAGATACTGGAAACATGGAGGCTGAATGGAAAGAAGGTTTAATGACGAAGCAGAATCATGTGTGGCTCTGGGCAGCTGACCCCATAGAGTTGAGAGTGGAGAGTTTTTATATTTTTCTTGAGCTTTGCACTTGAACTTCCTGTTCCTGGGCAAGAACATGTATTCTATTAGCTGTTGTCAGACTCCCATTGGGACATGTAGGGGTTATGTAGGGGTCATAGCTGGCTCTATAGGCAAAGTACAAATCCCAGGTGTTTGTCTGAGCTTCCAGGTTTGATTGAAGTTCTGAGATGATGAAATGACTGAAATACCCTTAGGATATTGTTCAATGTAATGAGCTCTGTGGCTTCTGCTAAATGGTAGTAGTGTCCTGAAGGATCATGTCCTGTTCTTTTTAAGCTAAAAGGCTTTTATTTTGTACATAGGCTGGCCCAGTTTTTCTTAATGGGCACAAAATATCTGCTGGGAGTGGGGAGCAACTAAGAGTGAGTCTGCTTTCTGCCTCTAAAAAAACACGTTTTTCCATTTCTCATTTAGGGAAATATAATGTTCTACCTTTTTAAAACATATTTCTCAAAATATTTCATTCTTCTAGGAGATGGGTGGGTGCTAACTTTCTACACTATATAGGTAGTCCTCAACTTATGACCAAAATTAAGACCATAATTTCTGTTGTTAAGCAAGGTAGTTGTTATGTGAGTTGCACCCAATTTTACAACCTTTTTTTTGCCACAGTTGTGAAGCAAAAAAAATTGTTGCAGTTGATAAATAAATTGTGTAGTCATTAAGTGAATTCCGCTTCCTCCATTGACTTACTTGCTGGAAGACGGCTGGGAAGGTGATGAAGAGCATTCACATGACCTCGGGACACTGGAACTGTTGTTAAATACATGTCAGCTGCCAAGCACCCAAATTTTGATTACATGATTGTGGGGGTGGTTCATTGAATGTAAGAGTGAGGACCAGTTGTAGGTCACATTTTCAGTGCCGTTGTAGCTTTGAATGTTCACTAAATGAACAGATGTAAGTGTGTTGTTTCTCCGTTGTCATGTAATAGATGTGGGTATATGCATAAGTATTTATTTATTTATTGTGTATTTATTTATTTTGTCATGTTTATAGAATAGAATAGAATTCATTATTGGCCAAGTGTGTTTGGACACACAAGGAATTTGTCTTGTGCAAATGTTCTCAATGTACATAAAGGAAAAGATACATTCATCAAAAGTCAAGAATCATAAGGTACGACACTTAAGGATAGTCATAGGATACAATAAGCAATCAAATCGTACTAGGAAACAGTCTATAAATCATAAGGATTCAAGCAACAAAGTTACAGTCATACAGTCATAAGTGGGAGGGGATGGACGATAAGGAGTGATGAGATTAACAGTAATAGTAGTGCAGACTTTGTAAATAGTTGAACAGTGTTGAGGGAATTATTTGTTTAGCAGAGTGATGGCCTTCAGGAAAAAACTGTTCTTGTGTCTAGTTGTTCTGAGGTGCAGTGCTCTATAGCGTCGTTTTGAGGGGAGGAGTTGAAACAGTTTATGTCCAGGATGTGAGGGGCCTGTAAATATTTTCACTTTTTGACTCATGCAGTATACAGGTCCTTGACTGAAGTCATGTATGCTTGAAGGCAATATACATTATGTAGTGTATATTGGAGAGGTGGTGACTCTTTGAGAGCTGCATGCAATGAAATTTCATTTTAATGTATGCTGATTAGTGTACATTCAAAGGGACAATAAAGTTATTCTAAGTCTAAGTTCTAAGAAGTCTAAGTCTCAGTTGTAAGTCTAAGTTCTGCAGGAAGTCCTGGACTTACGACCATTCATTTAGGGATGGTTCAAAGTTACAGCGGCACTGGAAAAAGGTGATTTAGGACCGTTCTCACACTTATGACTGTTGTTGCATCCCCGTGATCATGTGATCAAAATTCAGATGATTGCAAACTGGTTCACACCTATGACCGTTGCTATATCTGAAGTTCACGGGATCCCCTTTTGCAACCCTGTGATGAGAAAAATCAATGAGGAAAGCCAGATTCACTTAACAATTTTATTGATTCCCCTCAACAACTGTGCCAAGGAAGGTCGTAAAATGGGAGCAAAACTCACTTAAACAAAGGTCTCCCTTAACAAGATAAATCTCTAGCTCAAATGTGGCCGTAAGTCCAAAGGCTCCTTGTATCCGTAGTTTTGTCTACTAAGCTTAGTCCGCACTACAGCCATCGAGCTTATTCCCACCACTTTGTTCCGCAGGTGTTCCAGGTGAACCTGGCTATGGTAAGGATGGAGTTCCTGGAGTCCAAGGTGCTCAAGGTGAAGCTGGCGCTCCTGGCCTTATGGGGCCCCCAGGACCTCCAGGGGCCAATGGACAATGTGACCCCTCCCAGTGTGCTTATTATGCAAGTCTAGCTGCTCGGCCCAGCAACATCAAAGGTCCTTAAAAATGTATCCTCCGTTGCTGCTTGTGGACCTCTCATGGACCTTCTTCTCCGGAAAAACTTGGATGAAGCAAGGAAGTTGGGAGAGCCTGTTTCTTTTGCTTCCTGTTCTTCGACAAGGAGCATGGAGACTCTGGGAATTAAATGCTGCCGGACAGTCGGGTTTTTACCATGAAGAAATGATTAATTCGTGTTATTTTAATGCAGTGAGAAGTGATTTTTCTGGGAAGATTTTCTTTTTTTCTTTTTTAAATATTTTTATATCAAGGTTGAGGATGAATTTTCCCCCTTTTTGTAGATGGTCTTCTAAAAAAAAAAAAAAGTTCATGCGAAACAGAAAGGAAAGGAAAATGGTGGGTAAGTAGAGGCTAGGGGCCCTGGAGAGACATTTGGGTTTCTGTTTGCTAGCTTAGTCACCATTCATAGGCGAAACCTCTGGAGATGCTGTGATATTGGCCATTAAGGCTTTGTCCTGCAAGTGTTCAGTAGAGATTTTAGATATAGCAATCTCAATCTTTTGAGGGTGACAGGACAGAGGGAAGAGGACAATTTGCCTTCGTGTCTTCGCGTACTCCTTGGGAATCTCTTTTGATCACCATGATGGAGCACTGGCCTCTCTGTAAAAAAATGGCAGTGAGAACAATTCATCAGTGGGACGGGTTGCCTCCAGAAGTTGTGGCTGCTACATCACTGGAAGTTTTTAAAAAGAGATTGGACAGCCACTTGTCCAGAAAGGTGTCAAGGCATGGGTGTCAAACTCAAGGCCAAGCAGGCCGCAACTGGCCTACAGGGTGCTTAGATCTGGCCCTGGAAACAGTGAAAGGACCGGCCTGCAGTGCATCTGCCACAGAAAACAGAGCTCGGGAGGGACACATGTGGTCCTCCCGAGTTTCGTTTTCACTGGCAGCAGGTTGCAGGAGGCTGTTGCAGCTGAAAACGGAGCTTGGGAACCCCTTTTCGCTGGCAGAGACCTCAGGCTGCCACAGGTGCCCCCGACATGAGTGACTTTGAGCTGGCCATGCCCCCTGGCCATGCTCCCTCGCCAGAGGTGGTATTCAGCAGGTTCTGACCAGTTCTGGAGAACCAGTAGCGGAAATTTTGAGTAGTTCGGAGAACCAGAAAATACCACCTCTGACTGGCCCCGCCCCCATCTCTTCTCTGCCTCCCGAGTCCCAGCTGATCAGCTGGGTCTTCTTTTGTTGCCCTGAAAAGGAGAATGGAGCTGGAAAGCAGGTTACTGGCATGAGGAGGGAATGGATATTTTGCAGGAACCTTCTCCCAGGAGCGGGGTGGGAAGGAGATTTACAGTATCCTTCTCCTGCCATGCCCACCAAGCCAGGCCCACCACATCACGCCATGCCCACCAAGCCACACCCACAGAACCGATAGTAATTTTTTTTTGAATCCCGTCACTGCCTGTCGCCCCTCCGAGGTCAAATGCAACCCTGATGTGGCCCTCAATGAAATCGAGTTTGACACCCCTGCTATAGGGTCTCCTGCTTTAGTAGGGAACTAGACTAGAAGACCTCCAAGGTCCTTTCCCAGTGCTGTTATTCTATTATTAGGAATAAAATAAGGAGGAAGAAGCTCCGGGCAAAACTGTCAGACAGCAGCATGGACAATGCTTCCTCTATGTATCTTTCACTGAGACCAATTTGCAGGTCCAGAATTACTCTTTGAAAAGCCTTCTGTGATCCTAAACACATCTTTCTAATTGCAATTGGAGACCTTCACCAGATTTACCCTTTTTTTTAAATCAACAGAACTGTTGGTTTTGCCGTTATTTGCTTGTTCAGTAAAATGCATCTGTGAAAATTCATTTTTCATCTTTTTTTTGTTAAACCTTTGACCTAATTCCCAGTAGGATAGCTGATCCTATAGCAGTGCAACAGTGGTTTATGTCTGCTCAAAAGCATACTTTTAGTACTTGCTCTCTTATAAATATGACCAGCAATGCATCTACAAAATAAATTTCTGGGAAACTGTGAAAATAATTATTCTGCCACCATAACCTTTTCCCAAAGATTATTTAACTAAGCTTGTTACTGTCTTCTGTGTCTGCTTAACAGCAGTTCCCTAATAAAACTAAGCAGCCAATACAAGATAATAGCTCAGAGTTGATTGGTGGGAGTCCTTGATGCTCTCTGAGCTTGGTTTTTGGTCCAGGCAACTGGACTTTCTTGTTTGTTTTTTCTTTTGAAGACGTTTTGCTTCTCACCCAAGAAGCTTCTTCGGCTCTGATGGGATAGTGGGGAATGGAAGGATTTGGGACAACCATGACCTGAATGACTGAGAATCTCTACGGACTCTGAACTTGGTTGTTTTCTTGCAGATGTTTCATGATCCAACCAGGAAATATCATCAGTGTACAGCACAATGCAGTGCACTGATGACGCTACCTAGCTGGGTCATGAAATGTTTGCAAGGACACAACCAAGCTCAGAGAGCACCACGGACCCTGCAAGTTAAGAAACATTATCAGCCTTAGCATCCTTTCTTCCTGCAAGAAAGATAGCAAAGTTAGAATTAGGATCTTATGCTCGCAAATAAATTGTTTCCAATTTGGGTTCTTGCAGAGCATGAATTGTATCTGTGAGTACACATTGCCATGACAAGACGTGTTCTTTGTACCCAAGATCATCATGTATGTGTGTGTATATTTTGGTTCCTTTGCAAAATGATCTAACCTTTAACTTTGTGCTCCAAAGCATGAAATGTACACATAATCCAGCCAATTATTCATTGTTTATTTCGAGGCATGAGGGAAATTATTTCACATAAAGTAACTAATTCCTACTATTTCAAACCCAGTTCTTGGGCTACCTTGTTTAAATATGCTTCAATGAGCACTTAGTGCCACAACCAAATGTTATTTATGGCTTTTAAAAGGTGCTATTGTTAATGTGGATTCTGTGGCATCAGCAAGTTTTGTCTCTTTTATCTTGCAGGCATGTGTATAAAATGTGTCTAAATTGTGTTTATAGCAGGTGGGCTATTCTCCAAGTAATTATGGTGCTTGCTTTGCTTAGTTTCTAAAAGATAAAACATAGGGTTTTGTTTTTTCTGGCAAAGAAATATGCTTGCCGAATTATTTAAAAAGGAAATAGCTTTGCCATTTTTTTCCTGTTTCAAATTGGATTGAATCATTTCTTTTCTTTCTGTATGGCAAGATTTGATTGATATTGAGTGAGGCTGATTATATATATATATATATATATATATATATATATATATATATATATATA